GTACTCTAGTCTTAGTTTAGAGTTATTCTTCTCTTTCTAGTTTTATTTCTAGATAAATAGTATAAAACTATAAGAGTTAGAGTAGAGCGTACTACGCGCTACTTATTATAAAGCCTCTAGGTTAATCTAGATATAGAGCTTTTTATATATAAACTATAGAGTTAACCTAATAAAGTTTAGATTAGAGGTCTAAGTTCTTAGCTATAGTATACCTAGTATAAGATTAAACTCTTCTATTACGTTTACTATAAAGCTATCTTAACTCTATCTTATTTATTCTATACTATTAACTACCTAATATTAACTAGTAGTATAGCCTAGAACCTTAAGCTTTTCTTTATTTAAGTCTTAGAAGGCTAGACCTAGTTTTAGCTTAATAGATAGCTCTATCTTTTAAGTAAGAGATTATAATATAAAGTTAGCTTCTATACTATAATCTACTAGCGTCTAGTAGAGAATAGAAGTCTCTATACCTAGAACTATATAGTCTAGTATAATTAAGGTACTTCTAGACCTATTAAGAGTATAAGTATCTCTTTATAGTATAGCTATAATAATTTAGTCTCTAGTATATAAGATATTATCTAGTAGATAGAAGACCTTCTACCTTAGAGCTTAGCTTTTTTCTTCTTAACTAGCCTTACCTTAAAGATAGAGTAATTCTACTTTATATAGCTCTTCTAGTAGTATTTAAAATAAAGGCCTTCTACTTTAGCCTTATTATTCTTAGCTACCTTAAAGTTATTCTTACTAGGCTAGCTAGGCTTAGAGATAGTCTATTTCTTCTTATTATTCTTAGTAGAGAGAGTAGTAGAGTACTTATAGAAACGTAAGTTATTTTCTAGCATATTCTCTATTTAAGAGTATTTTCTAATAGTTTTTACCTAGCTCTATTTCTTAATTATTTACTAGTAATAGTATACGTTAGCCTTAAGCTTAATAAGGCTTATCTAGGTCTTTAGAACTAAGTCTAGCCTATATTAGACTTAAGAGTCTAGAGCGTTAAAGAATATCTAGATATACTCTAGATTATATTTATTAAAGGCTATAAAAGAGTTAATCTTCTTCTATTAAGTAGTTAGGTAGTAGAGAAGCTCTAATAGGCTTCTTTTACCTTATTTAGCTCTTATAATTCTACTATAAGTATTTTACTTTCTTTTCTAGTTAATCTCTAATATTTCTAGTATCTTTTATTTTATAAAGGTCTAGGTAACGTTAGTTTAGAGATAGACTTACTAGACCTACTTCTAATACGTAAGAGAGGTGTAATCTAGATATTATATAGTCTATTAAACCTAATCTTAGGCTATTAGAAATAGGTTAGAATTAAGAATAAATTTCTTATATTCTCTTTACTAATTATTATAATTCTCTTTTATTTTTCTTTTATATTTAGGTAAGAGCTTTAACTTTAGAAGTTACTATAATAGTAGAGAGTAGCTAGAGTACGTTAGAGCTAGCGCTAGCGCTACTATAGAAGCTCTAGCTTATTTCTTATTTTAAGAGTATAAGATAACTAATTAGAGTAGAGAGAAGTATAAGTTATATTATTTAATCTAGGTCTCTAGCTACTAGATCTAGTTTTAGAGAGTCTAGTAGCATGCTTAGTAGGTAAGCTTTACCTCTAGCTCTCTAATCTAGTTCTAGAAGGCCTTCTCTAAGAGCTTATTACTCTAGAGAGTTATAGCTAGATATAGCTATACTTTATATTTAATTTTCTATATTAGGTTTTAACTCTAGGTATATAAGTCTAAGAACTTGCCTAGGCTCTCTAGATTTTGCGACGCTAATACTCTTATATTTACTATCTCTATCTAGGCTTTAGAGAGTAGAGAATTATATTATAAAAGAAGAATCTACGTATAATTCTTTAGACTAAGCTAGTAGTAATAGAGTAATAGTAGAATATATAGGTAAAAGGTAGTTAATTCTAGAGTATTCTATAATATAATTCTCTACTCTTCTCTCTAGATAGAGAATTGTAACTATATCTAAGAAGAGTAGGTAGAGTAAGCTAACACTACGCTAATCTAATCTAGCTCTATCTAGGCTAAGCTAACATAGCGCTAGGCTAATCTAGCCTAGTCTAGGCTCTATTAAAGTAGCCTAGGTACTACTTATAATATTTTTAGAGTTTTCTTCTCTAACTATATATATATATATTAATAATCTAGCTATATAAAGTTATATAGTATAAGATTATATATACTATAAGCTTTCTATATATTTAGAAGTAATAATTTTAAAATAGTTTTAGTATCTTTCTATCTTTCTATACTATACTACTAAAAAGACTTTACTTTTAAATAACTACTTAAAGCTACTATATTATTAGTTAATAAGCTCTATATAGTTAAAGCCTACTATAATTTATAAAATAATAAGTTTATATAGCTAGATTAACTATATATATATAGTTAGAAGAAGAAAGCTCTAAGAAAAAGTTTTTCTAACTTCTATCTCTTATTATACTATACTTAGAAGACCTAGCGCTATAGAAGTTTTCTAGAAACCTTTATTAAGTTATAAATACTATATACTATAAGTTTTATAGATTATTATAAAGATATAATAGTACTTACTAGAAGTAAACTAGATTTTTCTTAAAAGTTAGTTAAATATATATAATATACTTTATAAGTAAGCTAGTTATATAAGTAAGCTAGTTACTTTTACTAAGCCTCTACTAATAATTATCTTAACTACTATAAGTCTATCTACTAATACTAAGTTATCTTTTTAAGAAGCTAGAATATAGCTTATAATTTAAGCTATTTAGACTAGCTAAATTTAAAATAAGTAATACGCTATAGTAATCTACTATATTCTTTTATTATTATTATAAACGCAACGCGCTAGAATAATACTATAATGTAAAAAGATACCTAATTTAGTAAAACTTATAAAGAATAAAAAGTAGATAATAATTAACTATATACTTAACCTAGATATATAAGAATTTACCTCTTAGCTTACTACTATTTAAGATATAGCTAATATACTACTTATAGAGTAGAGTAGAAAGGTTATAGGTAAGAACTAGCTAAATAACTTTATTACGCGCTATTCTAAGCTTAAAACGCGGCTTAATTATAAGTATAACTATTAGAGAGTAAAGTAAGAAAATTCTATAATTATTTAGGCGTAGTTTAACCTAGTAGATAATATAAAGATAAAGTATAGTATTACTAATAAAGATATATATAATTTTAATAAATCTAGCTTTATAATAAAAATAATATTATCTTAGGTAGTAGTTACTAGCTCT